TCTTCCGGAGGCAGGCGCCGCTCGATGTGTGGGGAGGCCCTCATGCGGGGAGTTTATCTGGCATCTCTGAACCCGACTCTCCTGTAGCAGACGCTTGAAAAGCCTGGCGAGAGAGCCCCTGGAACTAGGCCCGGGCTTCAGAGAGCGGGGCCTGGAATGGGTTGTGGGGAGGGGGGGACAGGGTCTCCAGACCTCGCCGCCCTCCAGACCTCGCCGTCCCCCGATCGCGCCTCTGGGACCCCTTCCTCCCGGAAAGACCCAAAGGTGCCGGCTGCTGTCCGGATTTGCCTGCGGGATTCGCGCCTCCTCCCTTGCCTGGCCTGGCCTGGGCCACCCAGCCACCCGCCCACATGTCCTCAGCAGCACCTTTCTGGGCTTCTCGGAGGCCTTTCGAGCCACCACATCACACGCCGAGCCCGCCGGCCACTTCCTCTTGTCAGTCTCCCAGGGCAGGCCTGGGCTGCCTGCGGTGGACCTTCTGGGCCCCTCCCTCCCGAAACCTCTTGGCTGCCTCTTCTCCCTCCAAATGGCGCCCCGTGTGAGAAGAGGGAAGGGGGTGGGGGGTGGAGGCTTGTCGTCAAAGCGCAGATTTGGGCTTCGTATGCAGAGAGGGGCTAGCAAACGGCCCCCTCCGGAATGAAACTTGGGTTGGTTGGAAGGGCAGCCTTTTCTGCGGAGGCTAAGCAGCCCCATCGGGCAAGGCCTTTCCCCGCGTACACGCTTGCGCCTTCCATCCTGGCTACACACTTTGCCATCCCCCTTCTACACAACTCGCAGCGAGCCAAAGGCGCGGCCGTAGAAATCTTTCCTCCCCCAGCGCCCGCTTTGTTTCCAGTCCGGGTTTCACGTGGGAAATAAATAGCGTAGCCGTGCAATTCCTCCGGAGACATCGGCTGCATTTTCTGCACCAAAACGATTTGTAAAAAAGAAGAGCCATGATGACCCATAGGTAAAGCGGCTTAAAACGACGATTTAGCTGGGCTAGGTTTCAAATGAAAAAAAGGGAGAAAACATGACCGGAAATAGACTTTCGAAATAATGAAATAGACTTTAATTGCCAGAAGTTTATGTACATTTTTGTGCCAGATTTTTGCAGTCAGTCAGTCTCAGAGAGAGGGAGAGAGGGAGAGGCAAGCGTCGACTCCTGATCCTGCACCGGTCGCCCTGAGGGTTATATCTGTTTCTTTTCGCCCTGTGTTCTCTTTAGACAGGAGCCGTTTCTCTGACTCCGCATAATAACAGCCCTCTTAGTGAGTGGCGTTGAGAGCCACTTCCCCCGCTGCGCCTTTATAGACTACATTTTGTGGCGCATAAAACTCAGATGCGCACATCCCCTGACTGGCGTGGGCCTCCGGAGATGGCGGGTGCTTATGGAAAGATCTTGGTAAGGTAGCCGAGAATATATGAAAATATGGCACTCTGGGAAGTTTTATTTTATCGCTGTTGCAACCGGGAGATCCGGAGGCCACCCAGGGCCTGTGGTCAAATGCAAAACCGGTCGGAAGGAGCCTTTCCAGAAATTAGCAGGACTACTCCGTTTGGGAAGAGCTTGCCTGCCACCCCCGGATGCGCACTCAGATCCGCTGTCACCACACGCTCTAAACGTGTTTCCTTCATGCTGGAACAAGTTCCCGATGGTGATTTGTGTGTGCCCCCCCCCCAGTTCTTAGAAGAATTGCCCCTGAAACAAATGGGCTCTTGGTACTGTGATTAATCCGGGATGAGTCCTTTGAAATCAGTGGGCCAGGAAGCCGAGGGTGTTTATGTGCGCGCGTGCGTGTATTAAATGTACCTGGATTAGCACCACTGGAGTCACGGTGCAACCACGAACAGGAGGGTGAGCGCAAAAAACCCCAAAAAACCTTTCCGAGGAGCAGGCGGGAAATAATAAGCAATCTGTTTTTTTTATTAGATACCTTTGTTACACGGAAGTATTGGCCGTGGAGGGCCTCCGCCGTCTCCCCGCCCCCGTGGATGGGAGAACTACACTTTCCCGCTTTCAAGGCTGTGTGGATGTGACTTGCCTTCGTTTAGTGTTTCCTGGGCCAGATTAAAAGGCAAAAATGATTTCCTACCTGGTCGCAGCGAGAAGGGGTTCCCCAGTCGACTGGGTCTTAATCTTACCCTTCAAACGCTGCACTTCTAAACGCGCTTCCTAGGTAATAAGGCCCACTGAACTTGCTTCTGAGTAAGCATCCCACGACGCACAGCGAAAGGGATCCTCGACATATGTGAACTCTGTGTGTGTGTGTGTGTGTGTGTGTGTGTAAACATCCAGACCGGCATATTGGGGGTCTGCGGTGACCTCTGCCCTGTTGTTTTTGGTAGGAGAGTTTAAAGCAAGGATTCTATACTAACTTTAGGAGTAAATCCCATTGAACAAGATCGGTCCTATTTATAGTTAGATACGCATACGATCGGCTAGCCAATCGTTTTTCCTCTCTCTCCTTTCAACCAAAGGGGATTTTACTTTTTTTTGGGGGGGGAAATCACACTATGGCCCCAAATCTAGCAATGTTTGTTTATTGTAACAAGGATGTTGTCGACTTTAATACCGGTTCAGCTTCTCGTTTTAAAAGGAGCCTATTATTCTGGTTCTCGGCACAACTGACTTATGTCTCGTTAAATTATTGCACTCTGATCGGGTGTAAATGTAAATTCACTTTAAAACCACGGCCCCAGGCTCTAAGGAAAGACTATGTCAGAATAATACTAAACACGGTCCCTTTCATCTATTGTTTATTCTAATGGAAAATTTTAGACAATTTTTCAGTTAACAATAGGTTCTCAAAAATACCAAATATGGAGTTTTGAGCTGTTTTCTAGCGGCTGTTTTCTAGTTGCAGGAATACACCGATTTACTAGACACTTGCCCTGAAAATAAGAGTTGAGGAAGTCGACGGAGCTTACTCGATAGCCAGTGCTTCCAGAATTCCAGTATTTTAATAAGCACATAACACCGGAGGTGACTGTTATAATATCCGGAATACATTATTCTACAGGTTTAGTAGCAGTACGGAACCTTTGGTTTGCTACTTTTGGAGCAAAATAACATGAATTTTGGGTAGGGAACGGCAGGGTCACAAGCAGCCCGAGAAAAGAGAAGCGCTTCGAAATCAGGTAGTGCCACCTTCGAAGCAACATTCGAAGCAAGTCGACACTGATCAGGACTTATTTACAGCTCAACGTAGGGTCCTCCAGGCCTCCTCCATAACGATCATCGGAAGATTCGCCCTACGGCCTACTACGCTTCGGTGCCTTCTCTGTTTGCCAACTTCAGAGCCAGCCTCACTGAAGTCAAGGGATTTGAATGATTTGAATGGAAAGGGAGTCAGCGTGTCGGATCGCGGCTAGTTCCTGTGGATACGGACGGAATGGCTGGGGAGGAGAACTTGGGGGAGCGATTCGGTTCCAACCCCCCCCCCGTCCCTTTCCCTTTCCTAAACTCTCAGAAGAGACCGCCCTCCTTTTGGCATTTTCCATTAGAACACTTTCCTGGGAGTAAGCCTCACTAAATAGACCTAAGTAAGAGTCTAAGTAGATCTAGGTAAGATTGCTTTCCCCATGCAATGGGATCCGATGGTTACTCTAAAGTAAACCCCAGTAAATTCATTAGCGCGTACCCCACCTAAGTGCGCACAGGACTATCGTCTGCACGCATCCTTCCTGTAGCGTTGCTCTGAGAATGTCCCACCGCGGGGATTACTTCCGGGCACAGGTTCGGCCTGTCAAGAGAAGGGATGCAGCTAAAGCCCTTTCTGCAGCTTCACTACATTTACTCAGAAGTAAGCTCCGTTGATTTAAACATAACTAACTGCAACCTACTGGAACGCAGGCCGTTTCGCTAGAGAGGATTTACCCCTGCCCGAGAATGGAGGAACAAGCGGTATTGAAAGCCCATCACTGAACGGAGACCAGGATTCAAATCCTCATTCAGAGAGAGGCTGCCATCGCACACACTAGATACGGCACTTTCAAACCACTTTCCAACTGGATTTTACTGTGTGGACTGGCAAAATCCAGTTGGGAAGTGGATTGGAAGTGGATTATTTAGCCTGTGTGATCGCAGCCGCTCTCTGAATGAGGATTTGAATCCTGGTCTCTATTCAGCAGTCAGCCCGCTTCACAGGATTGTTGTGAGGATACAAATAAGAATAAGGCCCTGTTAGCATCCCCGAATCACTTGAGGGGAAGGAAGGCTACACATGGAACCCACGGGAATGAGCCAGCGCTTTGAGATAAGGGGTGGGAGACGTTTCTGCGTAGAGATTTCATAGGTGTGCGAAGAGGGGAGGTTCTGGATCGGCCCAGCGCCTGAGGGCTATCCATCCAGTACAGTTTTTAGGGCTCCCTCCCTCCTGGGAGCTCCGGGAGGCCTCCATTGCTTTCCCCACTAGGCCACCCCCGGCAGAGAGGCCTGCGGACTACACTGGCTTCCCTGACTCCTGGGGTCTTTGGTCGCGGGGCTCCGTTGCGATGTGAGTTCATTTTCTGGTTCTGTCGGGACAGTGGCGAGCGGCGGGGCTCGGCGGCGGCGAGGCTGTGGGTCTCTCTCAGGCGTTGTCCTTCTCTCTCTCCCTACAGCCGTGCTGAAGGCGGAGCAGGCGGCCGTCTTCAAGTTCCCGCTGGCTCCGCTGGGCTGCTCGGGCTTGAGCTCGGCGCTGCTGGCCGCCGGCTCCGGGCTCCAAGGCGCCTCTGGGCCCCCTCACCTGCCCCTGGAGCTGCACCTCCGCGGGAAGCTGGAGCCGGGAATCCCCGAAGCCGGCGGCAAAGCCAAGAAAGGCCGTCGGAGCCGCACCGTCTTCACCGAGCTGCAGCTGATGGGCCTGGAGAAACGCTTCGAGAAGCAGAAATACCTCTCCACGCCGGACAGGTGGGTCCCACCGACGCGGGACTGTCTGCAACCTTTCCCCGCTGGCGAGCGCGGTGCCCTGGCGGGGCAGCAATCCTTCCTCGCCGGGAGCGTCTGCTCCGCAGGAAGGACCCCCGCGGCCAATAGTGCAGCAGCCTGAGGCCCGGCTTGGGAAGGAACCTCCCCAGCCTCCTAGATCTAGGAGGGCCGCGGCCACCGGAGGTGAGAGGGGCGAGGGCCTGGGAAATGCCAGCCCCGGAAATCCGCTCTCGGTCCCTTCCACGCCTCCTCCTGGGGGCATCATCTGAAGGGGGTTTGATTGTTTCGGCGCAGATATAGGCGCAACAGACAGAATGTCCTCTTTTCTTTCCAATCGAAGCACAATATTAGTACTCAGCTATGAAAGGGGTGTGTGTGTGTGGATTTGAGGAAGCGGCTTCTTGTTCCTTAACATAACCTTGCTTTGCTACTAGAGAATCCTTCCTCATCCTGTACTCTGGAGCGTGCTACCGAGAGAGACAGAGAGAGAGAGACAGAGACAGACAGACAGACAGAGAGAGACAGACAGAGAAACAGACACACACAGAGAGAGATCCTTACAGCAAGAAAAAGGAACGAGGGTGGGAGGCATTCCTCAGGAAACAACGAATGCACTTCGGGGATAAAAGAGGCATCTGAGGGGAAGGAAAGGGGGAGAGGAACTGGGCGATCAACACAGGCCTTCTCTTCCCTGCAGAATAGACCTGGCGGAGTCCCTGGGACTGAGTCAACTGCAGGTGAAAACCTGGTACCAAAATAGACGAATGAAGTGGAAGAAAATAGTAAGTGTGTTAAAAATACTGGATTTCTGTCCCCCCCCCCCTCCTGTTTACATAAGCAGCCAAAGACCACGGTTCCAGCGGCACAGGCTGATGGGGGCGGGACCCTGACTGCAGGGCGTCTTTGAGGTGCTTGCAGGGATCCTAAGGGAAAGGGGGATCCTTTGTTTCGCTCACTGCACCCCCTCCCTCCCAGGATGGATGTCACCTGGCAGAACCTCTCCGCCGGTCCAACAGAGCTCCGGATTCCAGTAAGGACAGGCCCATTGTTGGGTGATAGTGAGATATTTTAAAAAATGGTATTTAGCAGAGATAGTCCAGCAGAGCCAGAGTAAGATAATTCAGACTGAGAATCCATGTGTGATTAAAATATAAAGTTTGTACTAAATTCTAGCATGGGGAAGGATAACTGGGACGAAAATAACAACAGAGCATAATCGGCTACATCCTTACACTACAAAGACAAAACTAGAAGAGAGAAAGTATGGCTACTCTTCTTATATCTTCAGAACACCAAAACAAAGACGGGAAGAGAAGCCATAAAATGGTAATACGCCTTGACACTTTAGTCCCAATCAAACTCCTAGATCAGGGAGAAAATTCCCGGGCTTTCTATAGCTAAAGAACATTGGTTACATGAGAAACATGTGACTTCCTGTGAGCAACATAAACAAACATTTAACCCCAGATATACTGAGTGTTTTTAACTTGTAATACCCAACACCCATCCCATGCAGGCTTAGGCGGGCTTCATTCCATTCTTTTCCTGCCTCGTCTCGAGGACTGGCGGGGGTCGACTTTCCGGGACCAGAAAGCAGCATGACCCCTGTCCAGAGCAGCAGGCTGAGGACTGCGGCTCCGGCCTTTCCCGGGCCAGCCTCTACCCGCTGAGGGCTGTTGGACGAGGCAACGTCTGGACGCGGGGCGGAGAACCATCTTCCTCACTCTCGGGGTCTGCTGCACTCTCGCGAAGTCTTGTTGCCCACCTTATCAGGAGATCGGCGAGATTCCAGACCAACGAGATTTTCGGGGCGTCAGCTTTCCCGAGTCAAAACTCCCTCCCCCAGATATGAATGAGAAGTTTATCTCTGAAACTCTGGCTGGCCTCTGAGGTACTGCTGGACTCGACTCCAGCGGTTCTACTGGAGGCCAACACGGCTGCACTCGAAGAGTGTGCGTGTGTGTGTCTTCCTTTTTTAATTGAATGGCGGATTTAACCCTCTAAGAGTGTGCGTGCGTGTTCCTTTTTTAATTGAATGGCGGATTTAAAACATGGAGTTTTAACTGGTCGTCAATCGTTTAGACTCATCAGAATGGCAGTAAAACGGCCCGCACGTTGAACGTGACCTCAGTCTTCTCAAGCGCTCCCCCTATAGCTATTCTGTCTGCATTTAACTTGCTTACAGGCGACCTCATCTTTATTGGGGTTATTTGGCAGGGCCTTCCTTAGACCTCAGTTCCCAGCGCAGCCCTGCAAGGCGTTCCACCGTTATCGAAGTCGGTGGATTCCGAGGGCTTTGCCTCTTCTTAGGAGTGTCCTGTCAAACCAAGGATGCAGCCCCGTCCTCTCAGTAGTTCTTTGGGAGCGAGTGGTACTCTGTGCAATAGAACTGACTCCCATTTAAGCAGGACTGGTCCTCTACCTAATTTTTTCCCCTCGGCACTATTTCAATCAGAATTATGTGGCAATAAACTCCGTTGAAATCGGCGAGGCGATTCCCTTTAACATGATACACGGCTTGATGATTCCATCCGTGTAGGAGGTTTCCCGGTTGCCAGGGCCTCCGTTTCCCCGGGTAGGAACTGGCTCTGGACTTGCAGAGCAAATGAACCCCTAAACAGAGTCACACACTGAAGTCGATGGATCAGGATGGGTAGCCGGGTTAGTCTGTCTGTCCAGGAGCACCAAAAAAAGACTAACGAAATTTGTGGGGCAGGGGGCGAGATTTCCTGAGCCACTGCTCACTTCTTCAGATGCAGCTAGCATGGGAGTCCATCTGTCCTATTTACGGACCCCCAGGCTAGCTGTATCTGAAGCAGTGACCAGTGGCTCACGGAAGCTCATCCCCTGCCCCACACATTTTGTCAAGCTTGCTCTTTTCTGCTGAAGTCGATGGGAAAGTGTAACTCTGTCTAGGACTGCCGTGCAAACCACCGTTTCCCGGAGCGTCATTTCAGGAGCGAAAGCTTCCCTCTTGGCTCCACGTCGGGGATAGTGGCCCCAGGGATGCCTGCTTCACCAACACACCCGACAAGCCAGAGTCCCTTTGCTCGGATCGGAGGAGATGCTCCGAGAGCGGAGCCTTGCCCGAGGACTCTCTTCCTGAGCGCGCAGGTCCAACACAGGCCCGACCCGAGATAGGTCGCTTTGGCGCACCTACCTAAGGGCCTCGCCCTTTTGTTGGGACTTTCCGGAGGGCGCCTTGACCAGCAGCCTATCAGGCCCAAATCCACCACCTCAGCCTCCCCCTCCCCCTTCCCCCTCCCCCTCCCGCCAGGCCGGAGAAAGGGCTGCCTGTTGAATTTCTGTTGCTCCCGGTGCAGGAGCCTCGCCATCAAAAGGTGCCACTTGGCCCAGGCGGCGGGGCAAGGCGGGTGGGGGTGGCAGAGCAGCTGCGAGGTGTTTGCGTTGGCGCCGAACTCCCCGGGCCACGGATGTCTTCCGGAGGGCCATTCCCCCCCCTTCTCAAATGGATGCCTGTGAGTCTGACGTGTTGCCAGCTGGCTTTCTTCGCCTAGTTTTCCCCGAACACTGAGGCCCTTTGGGTTTCCGCAGGTCCTGCAAGGCGGAGGACTCGAGTCTCCCACCAAGCCCAAAGGCCGCCCGAAGAAGAACTCGATCCCCACCAGCGAGCAGCTGACGGAGCAAGAGCGAGCCAAGGAAGCGGACAAACAAGCGGAAAGCCTCGGTTCCCCCAGCCAGGTCACCCAGGAGGAATAGCCAAGGCCCGGGGGGCCTCGAGGCGTTGTGCTCTCGAACACAAGGATTTACGGTACTCCCCAGGCGCCTTTTCTGTGCCGGAGGCTGGATTGGGAAGGCAATAAGAACCCCGAAGCCAGAGCTATAAGGGACACTGACCTCGGGCCTTGCAAATCGACTAGACCTCACCGAGGCCTTGGCTCATTTCCACCACGTGGACTCAGACCTTGGTTTCCACCACGTGGATTACCTCCTGCTAAAGGGGAGCAGGTGGACTATGCCAGCGAGGCCCTGCATGTGCTTTTCTTTTCAAGAAGCTGCCAAGCTGAAAGAAGAAGATGGGTGACGACATGGTTAGTGGACTCTTCCCCGTTGATTCCTTTGCTTTTATGGGGTGATTGAGCGATCCCGCCCCTCCCCCCTTTGTACTTGCATAAGGAAAACGTTGTCGTCTCTCTGGGGTGGGCGCGGGGGGGGGGGTTGGGGAGGTCAGGTCATCCCGGCAAGGCAGATTTTTTCCCCTTCTGTCTGAGGTCCTGGGCTACCCCAAGTTATTCGAACACTGCATTTTACAATCAATTTTTATTAACATGAAAATATTGATTTTATTTCAATAAAGTATTTTATGAATGACTGGCCCGACCGAGCAATGTAATGTGTCCATTTCCTCAGCACCTTCCTTGCCCGACGCTCCCTCACTGCATGAGAAGAAAGCCCGCGGTTAGGGTCGGTTGGAGCCTTGCCCCCAAACACCTGGGCAAGGTCCCGGCAAAGTCAGCACTTGGGCAGTCCGATCCAATGAGCATTAACTCCTCAGTCAATTGGCCTGGCAGGGGCTGGGGTGAGACGCGTCTTATTGGAGAATTAGAGCTCAGAGCCTCAGCTTTGCTTGGGAGCGCGCCTCATATTGCCCGTCGGAAGGCCGATCTCTTGAAGCCAGCCGAGGCTGTAATCCTAAAACAGGCTTCCCGAGAGTAAAGGTAAAGGTTCCCTTGCTCGAAAGCCAGTCGAATCCGACTCTAGGGTTGCGGTGCATCTCCGTTTCCAAGCGGAAGAGCCAGCGCTGTCTGAAGACATTTCCGTGGTCATGTGGCCGGCATGACTAAAAACCAAGGCGCACGGAACGCTGTTACCTTCCCACCGAAGTGGTACCTATTTATCTACTTGCAATTTCTTGCTTTCGAACTGCTAGGTTGGCAGGAGCTGGAACTAGAGACGGGAGCTCCCTCCGTCATGCGGCAACTCGGGTCTCGAACTGCTGAACTACTGACCTTCCACAACCTGCAGTTCAGCGTCTTAACCACTTGAGCCACCGCAGCAGAGTAAGGCCTGCTGAATAAAATGGGACTTTTTTTTTTTTTGCCAGAGGCTAGCCAGTACGTTTCAGTCCATCCACAAGGATTCCTATCCGTGCCTCTCCCGTTAAGCTCCAGACCAGTCCTCTATTCGCTGCGCCACAGTGGCTCTCCGGAGCCTTAGGCTGCGGTCACACACAGTCACTAAATAATCCACTTTCAATGCACTTTCCATCGGGATTCTGCCAGTTCACACAGTAAAATCCAGTTGGAAAGTGCACTGAGAGTAGATTATTGAGTGAGCGTGTGTGAGAGAGACCGCAGCCGAAGTGAGTAATAAGCTGTCCGTAAAGTCAATGGTAAAAGTAAGCCAAGGACCAAAGGGAAGTCCCAATTAAGTCCTAATTCAAAGCGCATTGATTTCTGTGGGCTTCAGGCTGGTCTGACGTTCTTAGAACGGGGCTGGGACTAGGAAACAAGGCAAGTAGAGCGTTGCCTAAAATCCGCCAGGGCACGAGCGTGCCAGGGAAGGACTTGCGACCAGTTAAAGCTGGCGGGAATTCTCCGGGTCAGCAGCGACGTTTCCGCCTGTTGTCAGGACGTTATTTGCTTTGCCTTGGTAGCAAGTTGGCGAGGCCCTTGAGAAGCCCTTTGAAAAGCGTCGCACACGCTCCTGCAACGAGCAGCTAGAATTTGCCTCCTGACCGTGGTTGCTTGTTTCCTGCGGTGGGGATTTTGCCACCCAGCAGACGTGGATCTTTGACCAAAGATGCCTTCCTTAGGCAGACGCTTCTGTTTAAAGATCCAAAGGCTTAATGGATCACCTAAGACTCGGGGCTCCCCCTCCCCAATTCCTTTCCCCCAGTTATAAACGTATTCCGTGGGCTTTGCCATGCACTAGCCTGCGCCGGCGACATCTTCTCTTTGCCCTTTTCGTTGACCCCAGACGATGCATCGTTTCGCATGAGACAGGTCTCTTCATGAACCGCAGAGGTCTGTGCCATAAACACCAATAAAAAGCGCGGGGTGTGGGGGTGAAGGTTACCTTTGGGCAGCTTGCCTGTGGTTAAAAGCTCTCCAGTCCACACCAAAGTGTTATTTTACTTATTTGTCTTCATTTATACCCCACCGCCCCCCCCCCCCCCCCCAGTGCCGCTGACATTCTTTTTGTTGGGTTTTGATAGTGAGATATTGAAAAAATGGTATTTAGCAGAGATAAGATCGTTTAGCAGAGCTAGAGTAAAATAATTCAGACTCAGAGTCCATGTGTGATTAAAATAGGAAGTTTTTACTAAATTCTAGCATGGGGAAGGGTAACTGGGATGAAAATAACAACAGAGCTAACCGGCTACATCCTTACACTACAAAGACAAAACTAGAAGAGCGTGTTATGGCTTCTCTTCTTCTTCAGAACAGCAAACAAAGACGGGAAGAGGAGCCATAAAACGCTAAAACACTTTGACACTTTACTTCCAATCAAACTCCTAGATCAGGGAGAAAATCCCCGGGCTTGTACTCCTAAAACAGCATTGGTTACATGAAAAACATGTGACTTCCTGTGAGCAACACAAACATTTAACCCCAGATACACTGAGTGATTTCAACTTGTAATACCCAACACTTCTCCTCTCCTCCATTTTATCCCCACTACAATGCTGCTAAGCCAGGGTGTGCGACTGATTCAAGGCCACCCAACACACTTCCAGGGCAGAGCAGGGATTCGAACCTGGGCCTCCCAAATGTTAGTACAGCGCTCCAACCACTTCACTCGCTGCCTTATCCAAACAAAAGCTGTGCTATCCTATCCAGAGTTGCTGCAGTCGAAACTCACTGAAATTCGTGACTTTAGGTTGAGTAACAATCATACCGAGCAGGACTGCTCCTTTAGCACGCACGTTAGAAAGGAAGAAATGTGTCCTCTGTTAAACACAGAAAACGATTAAATTAAGGGCGTGATCCAGCCAGAGTTATAAGAGTCGGAGGCTGCGGACCTATGCACTTACCTGAGATAAAATCCCATTAAACCCAGGAGGGTTTACTTCCAAGTGAACACTCGTTGGCTTGAGCTTCATGTTCCCCTGGCTTCAGAGGCTGCGCGCTAAACACGTCCTGAATTTGTTCCCGCTGGATACTGAAACGTACTTGGCTAAAGCCAGGTATGAAGTGTTTTGATCTTCCCGAGAGTAATCCCCACTGACTAAAATGGGACTTACTTCTGAGTAGACCTGCTTTGGCGGTGCTCTCGAAAACGCGCGGACGTTTGGCCATATTTAGAAGTAGGCTCTTCTGAAATTTTTATGGAAGTTTTGCTTGCGTGTGGGATGAGTTTTGAGATGTGACAAAACTCTGGGAGGAAGCGATAACAGCTGCTGAGCTCTTAGCTGCATGGCCTACACAGTTTAAAGCTTTGATTCGTCTGGGATTTGCAGCTCAGCGTGTGGTTCTTTAAACTCTCCGTGATGTTTTTACTTATGATGCGTAGACAAATACTGACAAACCAGAACATGCAAAGCAAGAAAAATAGAGAAGCTTGAGGTCTCCTCAGGGCAAAAGTAGGAGCCAGGGGGAAATTCTGTGACGAGGGACAAGCCGGGAATTCTACCCCATCCTTCCAAATCTCTGTTTGAAAGGATTCTCTAGCAAGCGAATTTCCCCTCCCCCCCCCCCCCCTTGTCCCCTTCCACTGAAGCTCCTCTTCTGAAACATAATTAGACCTCATCAGGCCTATTTAAAAACGAGTTTTGCCTCCTTTTGATTAATTTACAAGTCTTGTTTTCCTGCTTATCTGCTTATCCACAAATGTCTGGGTGGCCTGGTTTTTATGATCGGGGGGGGGGGGTTTCCGGTGGGCCATAGGGGTTTCTGAGGCCAGGCTTTTGGGGGGGGGCCTTATCGGGGGGGGGGGATTCACGGTGAGCCATAGGGGTTTCTGAGGCCAGGCTTTTGGGGTGCGGCCTTACACTGTCGGTATCCACCGCCAGGAAAACAGGAACTGGGTTTCTGGTGTAATTTAGGCTGCAGTCACACACACTAAATAATCATCCTCAGTGTACTTTCCAACTTAATTTTGTCAGTTCTCATAGTAAAATCCAGTTGCAAAGTGCACTGAAAGCAGATTGAAAGTGGATCATTTAGAGTGTGTGTGTGTGTGTGACCACAGCCTTAGTGTTGGGTGATAGTGAGATATTGAAAAAATGGTATTTAGCAGAGATAAGATAGTCCAGCAGAGCCAGAGTAAAATAATTCAGACTCAGAGTCCATGTGTGATTAAAATATAAAGTTTTTACTAAATTCTAGCATGGGAAGGGTAACTGGGATGAAAATAACAACAGAGCATAATCGGCTACATCCTTACTCTACAAAGACAAAACTAGAAGAGAGAGAGTATGGCTACTCTTCTTGTTCTTCAGAACACTAAAACAAAGACG